ACCATATAATGATTTTGAACAAGGAATAATAACTTGAATTTTGAGGACCAGTAAAACTAAGAGCAAACTTCTGAGTCAATGACACACCCTTAGACACAAATTTAATCCTGCCATCTGAAAAAATGTTTTTTGAACCATATTTGTGGAAGTATGATAACTGAGTTTCTATATTCATACAATTATAGTTACTAATTTTGGCATAAAGAAACAAACCACAAAACAGTGAGTGGGCAATATGATTTTAACCATTTGCTGCAAAGTAGTCAGAGACTAATATTTTCCCCTTGTCAGGAAAGGAAACACTAGGAATGTTACTTTCAATAAAAGAAATACAGGCAGAAACCAACACAACATTGAAAAGCAATTATCCTCCAATTTTTTAAAAAATTAATTTTAAAATAAAGAAAAAAACATCATTCCTACAGTAAAGCATTTATACCTCAAGTCTTTGGAGAGCAACGAGAACCAGAAGATAACAAACCCCCCTCCTTTTTTTTAGCTCTTGCAAATCCAGACCACACTATTGATTACTGACAATTCATTGCTGAAGGCAGTACTCTGTATTCAATAAATTAAGCTTTAATTTCTGAGTCCAACAAAATAATTGACCTCAAAAAGAAGATAAATGAATAGACTATCCTGAGCTCCTGATGAGAATCCACTTTCCAATCTCATTATATTAGTATTTTTCAATTCAGTAATTTTTCCATTCTTTCGTAGTTTCTTTCACAATCTGTAACACCTTTTACCTGCTCCTATATGAATAAGGCCAAGCTATTTTCATCTTTGGTTTCAAGACTGAGAGGTTTTATTATGGTAATACTTTGGTATAATTTAATATAGAATTGGTATAATTTAATATAGAATTAATATAATTTAATTCCATTTTTAGGACAATCTAAGTGACTGGTAAATTTCTGAAAAACTTCTGAAATGTTTCTGATTTCATAAAATCATAAATAACATAGACATAGAGCATTTATAAATAGGGTGGCTCAGATGGTAAAGATGGTAAAGAATCCACCTGCAATGAAAGAGACCTGAGTTCAATCCCTGGGTTGGGAAGATCCCCTGGAGAAAGGCGTAGCAACCCACTCCAGTTTTTTTTGCCTGGAGAATGCTATGGAAGGAGGAGCAGTCTACAGTCCATAGGGTAGCACGGGCAGACATGCCTGAGCAACTTAGCAGACATGCGTGCATAGCACATATAAATATTTTGACCAAAGAATCCTTTGACAGTTTTGAACTTTTTTCCCCCATCTGATTTTCCTTAATGAATCCTTGAAGGTTAGAGAGGTTTAATACTATGTAGCCTGATTTTAGCATTTGATAAAAATTAAAATAACAACTATTTGGTCCCTTAAGGGAGACAAGCCATGAATTTCAGATAATCCCTCAATTTTTGCTAGACTATAGCAATAGAATTTCTGTATTTAAGAAGAAAAAGTGTATTCTTTGTAGTAAGAGGATAAACATTGAACAGTGTCCTTTTAAAATTTAAGCATATCAGTTATATTTGAAAACAAATACAAAATAATCACCATTATAGACACAATTTTATCAAGACAATGGTTGAAAGTAGCTAAGTCAAGTGCTTCTTCTGATAAAGAAGAAATTAGGTGTAGCTCCCATGGACTCCATGGAGAAAGTCGTTGATGTTTCCTTCTGCAGCTCAGGAAAAACTCCCCCCAAGCCTCTGGATAAAAAGAAGAGATTTTTGTTGTGCTCCTATTGGAATTCCTTGAGGTATCCAGGACATGATTGTTCCCTGCTTTAGCCATAGCTTCTGGGAATAAGAGAGAACAATGGGAGGTAAAGTGGAATTACTCTGTTGTTGGGAATTGGATTCATAGAGTCAGAGGCATAGTCTTTCCTTAGCCTTTTCCCACCCCCAGGTACATTCTCCAAATGGGATAACACTTGAGCTCGCTCTAGTGCAAATGTATAAGCTTCGTACACACATGAACTGTCTCTTTTTTCCCCCTCTGTACTCTTTATTTGGGGGAGTATAACTGCTTTACAATACTGTGTTAGTTTCCGCTCTGCTCCAGTGTGAATCAGCCACATGCACACACATGCCCCCTCCCGAGCCTCCCTCCAGCTTCCCGCCCAGCCCCACCCGCCAAGTTCTCACAGAGCACCAGCCGAGTTCTCTGCGCTGTAACCGCGGCTTCCCACTAGCTTCCCACGTTACACTTGGTGATGTGTATATGTCAGTCCTGTGCTACTAATTCATCTCACCTTCCCGTCCCTGCCCCTTTCCATGGCCATGTGACCATTCTCTGTGTCTGTGTCTCTATTCCTGCCCTGCAAATAAGCTCATCAGCACCATTTTTTCTAGATTCCGTACGTATGAGTGAGACCAATATGAGCGCCAATGAGTCTAGCAGAGACATTGCTTTCTCCATCCCATTTCTTACATACTGTAACTATTCCCAGAAATAGTCAAGTGCTGTTTCAGGATGACAGAGGTCATTCTTGGTAGATTCTTTTTCATTTATTTTTTTATTTATTTATTTTTTAATTAACAGAATTAACCCATTTATTCTTTTTTTTCCATTTATTTTTATTAGTTGGAGGCTAATTACTTTACATCATTGTAGTGGATTTTGTCATACATTGACATGAATCAGCCATGGATTTACATGTATTCCCCATCCCGGTCCCCCCTCCCACCTCCCTCTCTACCCAATCCCTCTGGGTCTTCTCAGTGCACCAGGCCCGAGCACTTGTCTCATGCATCCAACCTGGGCTGGTGATCTGTTTCACCATAGATAATATACATGTTTCGATGCTGTTCTCTCGAAACATCCCACCCTCGCCTTCTCCCACAGAGTCCAAAATTCTGTTCTGTACATCTGTGTCTCTTTTTCTGTTTTGCATATAGGGTTATCATTACCATCTTTCTAAATTCCATATATATGTGTTAGTATGCTGTAATGGTCTTTATCTTTCTGGCTTACTTCACTCTGTATAATGGGCTCCAGTTTCATCCATCTCATTAGAACTGATTCAAATGAATTCTTTTTAATGGCTGAGTAATATTCCATGGTGTATATGTACCACAGCTTCCTTATCCATTCGTCTGCTGATGGGCATCTAGGTTGCTTCCATGTCCTGGCTATTATAAGCAGTGCTGCGATGAACATTGGGGTGCACGTGTCTCTTTCAATTCTGGTTTCCTCGGTGTGTATGCCCAGAAGTGGGATTGCTGGGTCATATGGCAGTTCTATTTCCAGTTTTTTAAGAAATCTCCACACTGTTCTCCATAGCGTCTGTACTAGTTTGCATTCCCACCAACAGTGTAAGAGGGTCCCCTTTTCTCCACACCCTCTCCAGCATTTATTGCTTGTAGACTTTTGGATAGCAGCCATCCTGACTGGCGTGTAATGGTACCTCATTGTGGTTTTGATTTGCATTTCTCTGATAATGAGTGATGTTGAGCATCTTTTCATGTGTTTGTTAGCCATCTGCATGTCTTCTTTGGAGAAATGTCTGTTCAGTTCTTTGGCCCATTTTTTGATTCGGTCATTTATTTTTCTGGAATTGAGCTGCAGGAGTTGCTTATATATTTTTGAGATTAATCCTTTGTCTGTTGCTTCGTTTGCTATTATTTTCTCCCAATCTGAGGGCTGTCTTTTCACCTTGCTTATAGTTTCCTTTGTTGTGCAAAAGCTTTTAAGTTTCATTAGGTCCCATTTGTTTATTTTTGCTTTTATTTCCAATATTCTGGGAGGTGGGTCATAGAGGATCCTGCTGTGATTTATGTCGGAGAGTGTTTTGCCTATGTTCTCCTCTAGGAGTTTTATAGTTTCTGGTCTTACATTTAGATCTTTAATCCATTTTGAGTTTATTTTTGTGTATGATGTTAGAAAGTGTTCTAGTTTCATTCTTTTACAGGTGGTTGACCAGTTTTCCCAGCACCACTTGTTAAAGAGGTTATCTTTTTTCCATTGTATATCCTTGCCTCCTTTGTCGAAGATAAGGTGTCCATAGGTTCGTGGATTTATCTCTGGGCTTTCTATTCTGTTCCATTGATCTATATTTCTGTCTTTGTGCCAGTACCATACTGTCTTGATGACTGTGGCTTTGTAAATGGCTATACTACCCAAAGCAATCTGTGGATTCAATGCAATCCCTATTAAGCTACCAACGGTATTTTTCACAGAACTAGAACAAATAATTTCACAATTTGTATGGAAATACAAAAAACCTCGAATAGCCAAAGTAATCTTGAGAAAGAAGAATGGAACTGGAGGAATCAACCTGCCTGACTTCTTTTTCATTTAGAACCTCTTAACCAGAAATCCCAAGTACCTGTATTTTGTTCAAGTTCTATATAGTGATAGTCTATCATAATAATACATGGTACTCCATAACTTTCTGATTTGTTATGGCAGCCTAAATTCTGTTTATTATAGCTTTGATATTAAGTGAATTTAATTACACTATGAGTCTCTAAACACTGATAATTGATTGCTATATATAACAACTCCAAAAGGTCCAAATATTTCATTACTTTGAATATCTCATTTATGAACTTTTCCAAATAAAAGCAAATTAGTTGCATGTAGTGGTTAGAACAGATTTTTAAGTAGACTGGAGCAAATGTTTTTATCAGTTATGCATTTATTGTATTAATGAAAATACTTAGCCACATATTCTGATTCAAGTTAATAGAGTTTTCTAAAATTTACAACAAATGGAAAAATAATTGAACTTCTTTGGAAGAGTATTAAATGGTAAATTCCTAATGTTAATGGATGTTCTTTCCAACATAAATCACATGCTCTTCTGTTTTCTTTGAGAGAAGATCTTAGATATAAGTCAAATCTCACTTAAAATATTTTCATCAGTTGATTGATACCTTAATCACAGGAGACATTTTTTTTTTTTTCTGTGAAAACAACCATTAGAAGCAGTTGTTTTGGGGATAAGTGGATGTTTTGGACTTCCTAGATCTTTCTAATTTATGACTGCTTTCTTGTTTTAATTTGCAGAGTTTTTCCGAGAGCTCCTGGAGAATGCAGAAAAGTCATTAAATGATATGTTTGTACGGACCTATGGAATGCTGTACATGCAGAATTCGGAAGTGTTCCAGGACCTCTTTACAGAACTTAAGAGATACTACACAGGGGGCAACGTGAACCTGGAGGAAATGCTCAATGACTTCTGGGCTCGGCTCCTCGAACGGATGTTTCAGCTCATCAACCCCCAGTATCATTTCAGCGAGGACTACCTGGAGTGCGTGAGCAAATACACAGACCAGCTGAAACCGTTTGGAGATGTTCCCCGGAAGCTGAAAATTCAGATCACCCGCGCCTTTATTGCTGCGCGGACATTTGTCCAAGGGCTGACCGTGGGCAGAGAAGTTGCAAATCGAGTGTCCAAGGTAATTGAAATTCTACTGTCTTTCTAATTGGCCTTTCCCGTTTTCTCTGTTTTTTTTTTTTTTAACCAGTGTTTTTTTTTTTTTTCTTTAAAATTCAAGTAAAATTCTCACGTACAGTAGTCTTGCTAAATCAGCTAAATGTCAAAGCTTAATTCTTTGTGTGAGAGGAGCCAGGATTTCAAGCCATTCCATGTGGTTTGAAACATAATGTCAATATTTATCAACAATTCAGCAGGGAAGCTTTTATCAGGGAAGGCGTGAAAACAGGTGTCTTGTAACCATGACCACTTGGCATTTCTGATCAGTTTTAAGGATGATAAACACTCATGAAGCAGTCTATCCAGAGGTTATAATCCCCTGGGAAGGCACAAGATGACAATCTTCATGGTGACTGCAAGTGGAGACAAGTTGTTGCTCAAAACACCAGCACCTGGCATTTCTTCTTCTTTATCACCCTTGTCAATGTGGCAAATTCCTTAATAGTAAAAGAAGAGCCTTTAGCTGACACCTGTAGAACTGGATTAGGGAGGACTAATGAATACAAAGTGTAGACTCTGGTGGAGAATTCTTTCTGTTATCCATTATCTTTGTAATTCAATGCTGTGTATTGCATTGGGCTTATGAGAAAAATAAATCACTAATACATGTATGTGTCTTTCCTTGAGGATGCCTCTAAACCTTTAATGGATGGGGTCTTTTTCCACTGCTGTTTTCAAACATTGACTGTTTCCTGTGTAAAGGATATATGGCTTTGTTTAAATTCTTCGTTGACATTCAACTGCTCTTATAAGATAGGCTTGCCCATTTATGAGAGCTGTCCAACAAACAAACTGGAAGATGATTACTTTAAGAGGTAAAGTTAAAACAATAGATAACAGGAGTCTGGTATTATGTCACCCAAAAAATGTCATGTTTGTACAAAGATTATTGCTAAATATTACTTTCTTATTGCAGACTTGTGCCAAATAGCCACATATTTTTTGTAACTATTGGTACTATCCTGCCATGTTTCTTTTTTCTCCACTTTGATCTCCTCAGTATTTACATCTTGGTAGAAAGATGTATATACCCTTAAGAATGTCTCTCTATGGCTCTATTTGTAAAATTCATAGCAGTCCATTTTTTTAAATGAGAGATTCTTAAAAAGGTTACTTGAGCATATGGAAAGACTATTTGGAAGAATGCTCTGAGGAAGATAATCACAAGGGATTTAATAATACAAAGGGCCTGTAACTTTGATGTTAAAAACAATTTGTTTCATTGAAAATCAACATTCTAAATACCAAAGGAAATAGAACCCCAAAAGTGGATTAATAAGGGATTGGCCAGGTGGAGTAATAAGAGGAGACACGATCACCTGGGTAAGTCTGTGACATACAGGTCGATATAAGCAATAAATATATATTCCATATATTCTTGAGGGATAGATTTTGTTGTTAAAAAATGTTAGTCATGGTGGCTTCAAATTGAAGCCCTTGCTTTTATTGCAGAATGAAATTGCCAGCTTTTGAGACACATGAGGTAAGAAATTAAAAGCGTGGATTGATACCTGTGGCAGTCCTGGTTGTTTATATAGAGTCTGCCTGCGTGTGAATAATGATTAGATAAATACATTTACTCTGGGGAAGTCTCAGTGAGGTAAGAGAATATTTTCTATCAGTCCATCTAAAAAGCCACAGAGAGTTGGCTGATGCCTCTCTTTCCTGTTTCTCAGAGGATGGCATTAAAGACAGTCAGGAAGTGGTGACTCCCGTTTGCCTTTCCCTGACTGTCCCAGTCTTGAGACCTTTGTCTACCAAAAGCTAACGTGTCAACCTTCCTGGTAAAGACTGATATCATGGACCAACCATCAGTAGAGTATGATCTTCAGTTTTGTTTTATTTTCTAGACATGAAGTGAGATGAACTCTGCAACACTGAGATCTTTCTCCCCTTGATTTTTTTCATGACCAACATTCATTTGCAGAATAGCTGCTGTGGGTTTGCAATGTTGTCTGTGGTCATGTGACTGTGAATGTTTACTATTTTATGCAGATATTGCCTTGTTTGACCTGAGTATCATTAGCCCTAAGCCATTCAAATCATAAATCCCATACTGACATCTGGTTACTGCCTTCTAGTAGGTGAATAGATGGATGGATGGATGGAAAAAGAGAGAGATGGATGGATGGAAACAGAGAGAGATGGATGGGAATATATAGCCTTGGTTTAGAAGCTGAGAATTTTTTTTTCTCAGATAATTTATGACTTAGGGGTTTAAGTATTTTACCAGTGAACTTTCTTAACGAATGATGACCAGATGGTCTGTAGCTGACTAAATCAGATGCAGATCTACCAGCACCATTTGGATGCCGATGACTTACAGCACCCAAACAACTATTCTTTGTGATAATAATGAAATATTACAAGACTGACTATATTAAGAGGAGAAGTAAGAATTGTGTTTGAGGGTTAGCCCCTCATAAATCAGAAGTTTCCTTGTGGTCTGTTACTTGAATGATTTGGAATTTGTGAAATGATTGTAGGAGAGTTAAGGAATTCAAGGCAAAAATCCAAAATGGAGATTCACAAACTATAATAACTTATCTCCTGCACCTTGGCTTAGGGGATATTTTTTATCCTTCAGTTTCCCTCTTCTATTACAGTGGCTTCTTAAATCTAGGAAGGCATCATTAATAGCTTCTAATTAATTGTTTTGACTGGGAAACTTATCTCTTTGGCAAAACACAGCAGTTTGACACAAATGTTTTGACACAACATTTGGGGAATTTCCTTACCAGAAAAATAGAGAACTAATCTGATGACATCAACATAACTACTTTTAGAACTCACTCTTGCCATCTCACATCTCACAAGTCGTTTTCTAGGCTTTGGGTGGAACAAGTTAATTTTAAGTAACTGTTTGAAAATACCTGTGCTATCAAATGGGGCTTCCCTGGTGGCTCAGTGGTAAAGAATCTGCCTGCAATGCAGGAGACTCAGAAGACACAGGTTTGATCCCTGGGTTGGGAAGATCCCCTGGAGGAGGGCATGGCAACTCACTCCAATATTCTTGCCTGGAGAATTCCATGGACAGAGGAGCCTGGTGGGCTACATTCTGTGGGGTCGCAAAGAGTCAGACACTGCTGAAGCAACTGAGCATGCAGGCACATGCTATCAAATACATGCATGTCTTAAAACTACAGTTCTCACCTCTGGGCACACTGTTTGACCTGTATACAAATCTATGTGTAGGAATCACAGCAACATTGTTTATAATAACATATAAAGTGAAAATATCACAAATGTCCCATCTGTATAAATGATGATCTCTTCTGAAATCCTATGGAGCACTGAAAATAAGTGAACTACAGCCACGTGTGTGGATGAATCAGTTGCAAAAATATTTTTGAGACAAAAAAATAAAATAAAATAAAATCACCAAAGAATATATACCATTTCAGTTCAGTTCAGTCACTAGCCGTGTCCAGCTCTTTGCGACCCCATGGACTGCAGCACGCCAAGTTTCCCTGTCCATCACCAACTCCCGGAGCTTACTCGAAGTCATGTCTGTCAAGTCATATACCATTTATATAAATTTTTTAAAAAGTACAAAGCAATACATAATTTAGGAATTAAAATATATATGGGATCACATGTGCTTAGTTGCTCAGTTGTGTCCAACTCTGTGTGACCATGCGTACTGTGGCCTGCCAGGTTCCTCTGTCCTTGGGATTTTTCAGGCGAGAATACCAGAATGGGTTGCCATTTCCTCCTCTAAGGAAATATGTTGCCATTTCCTCCTCTAGGGGATCTTCCCGACCCAGGGATCGAACCCACATCTCCTGTGTCCCTTTCATTGCAAGCAGATTCTTTACCTATTGAGCCACTAGAGAAGTCTCTTCTCTTACACTGGCTTCTTAAATCTAGGAAGGAATCATTAATAGCTTCTAATTAATTGTTTTGACTGGAAAATTTATCTCTTTGGCAGGGAAAAAAAAAGAAAGAAGAAAACTTTCAAATGATAAACACAAGCATCATATAATAATAACATCTGGGGATTAGGTTTTGATGTATTATAAAAGAGAGATAATCAGGGGGTTCCATACTTACTTTTAACATACTGTTTTTTAATCTCTGTGCTCTGTGTGTCTGCATGCAGGTTTAAGATTTTTCAATGAAAGAGATTAAAGTGGGAGGAGACTTATCATTGTTCATCTGTGATTCTTTCCATCTCTGTAGATACGCTCAAGTGCCTGAGCTGCCTTCCATGGTTTATCAAACTTACTGGAGTTTGTAGATTTGACCATTCACTTTCCATGTTCCACATTGTGCTAAATGATATCAAGTAAGCATGAAGACAAAGCTCTAAAATGAACATAAAAGCAAATTTTGATAATATAATAGTCTTGAGAGAGAGGATCCTTACTATTTTTTTTTAGCATGATCCCTTTTTTAAAGCACCACTCTTCTTCCTTATATACACCCATTCATTAATGGAAATTTGGATGCCATCAGTGACTCTGAAGCTAATCAGACATGGGAAGAACAGAAAGAGGGCTGCATAGAGATAGTAAAAATTGTTTGCTTAGACCGAGCTTCTGTTTTTCATCATGAAGGCAAGTGACTGTAGTGTCTTCACTGGTCCATCTTGAAGCCATTTAAACAAAGAAGACATGACTTTCATATCTTTTTGCTTTAATAAATGTGACATCTGTGAGGAAAAGCTATAAATTGTGTCAGTAGCAACCACTTTAACTATGAAAGTCATTCCATTGATTCATTCCATACAAATTAGGTAGATAATGAAATTGGAATCTGTAGAACTTGAACTGTGGCCAAATACTGTCACTTATCTCTCTCTCTCTCTCTATCTAGATCTATTATGCATCTGTTTTTCTATTTAATTTTTTTTATTCCTTGTGGGTTGGGACTTTGAAAAGAAAGTCTGGCTTTAGTAAGACCAGAATATTATCAACAGACACCTGCCTATGTCTGCTATCCATAATAGTATCTTTGCAT